TCTTCTCCCAAGGAGCTTTGGTGGCCTAGTGGGTTACCTATTGGGCTGCAAATCTCAAGGTCAGCAGTTCAAACCCACCAGCCAATCAGGAGAAAGATGAGGCTCCCATAAAGGGCCTTGGAAACCCCCAGGGGAAGCTCCCCTCTGCCTTGGGGTTGCTATAGTTCAGAATTGACTGGTGGGCAGTGAGTTTGAATTGAGCCCCCCTCCCTGTTTGATTTCCTGGGTGACTGTGGCCCAGTCAACACGCATGGCCCGGTTGTAGGCACAGTGAGCAGGCTAGCAGGGTGTGTCTCCCAGCTCTGCAGAAAGCTGCGGGCGGCTTCCTGGCTCCTTCCAGTGGTGTGGCGCTTGGGTGGGCGTAGAAAGGCACTCACTGGGAACGGTGGTCCGTTGACTTCGGTGTGTACGAGAGGAGGCTGTGTGCTCCCTTGTTTCAGAGACCCGGTCCCTCGCTACACATGGAAGGCGGTTAGACTTCATCTCTGGACAGTGCCAGTTCTGTTTGCCAACTAAGGAGGAAGTATGGCTGTGAGCCAGCCCTTATGTAACCCCAAGGGGTTGGGCCATATTTGCCTCATAGCTCTTACAACGCTTCCTTCCACAATTGCTAAGTCATCGTGTGTGTGCACTGTAAAGGGAAGGAAAAAGAATGGTGTTTATTGGACAAGAATAGAAAGACATCTTCTCTCGGCGTGATTCGAGTGTGAGTGGTGTTCCTGAATTGTAACTGCTCCCCGTCCTCTGGTGCTCCGGTGGCCCAGTGCTTCTTGGGGGGTTTACTTCAGAGAACTCTTGCCCTTTTGTCTGCAAGGGAGGGATTCATTCTGATTGTATATATAGTCAACTGTGTAAATTGGTCTTTTTATAGGGAATGCTAAGCATCTTTAATGTAAAAATACTTTATTGGAAGTTTTAAACTAAATGACCAATGAAAATTGTGACACTTTATATGTGATCATGGCTAGAATGAGAATTAGAACACAGGAATTTCAAATTGGAATTTTTCAATGGGTGAGTCCGTGTGACTTCCCCAGAACCCGCTGTTTCAGGGTTGACGGGTAGTTCAGTACGCCCTCTAGGCTGAGCGTGCAGTGATGGCAGCTTGCAGGACCCCCGGTGTTGGTCTTTGTGATGATAGCCGTGTTAGGTTGGATGAGGAGTTAGGAGTTTTGGTTTTATGAGTTCTTTCGGAGCAGTTAAGTTGGTGATCTGAGGTAAGTTGAGATGTCAGCTCTGTGGGAAATGGCGTTTCTGCTCCCAGTCATTTTCCCACGTATCGGGCTTCTCCAGCCTCCTCTT